CTTTTTCAAAACTCCTAACAAAACTAAAAACAACAACCCCTACAATCTTTCTTTTCTCTTTTGACCTATAGGGGAGTAACTTAAATGGCTTTCTTTACATTACTCTTACTTTGGAAACCAGCAACTACCTTCTTAATACAGTACCTTTTAGCAATCCAAATCCCATTAACACTAATGAGACTTAAGCAGTTAAAAATGTACTGCCTCAACCTGTGAATGTGACCTGAAGGTGCAACCTCTGCCTGCATAAGCTTCTGCTATTTTCAGAAAAAAGGCCCAAAGTCAGTTTGTATATTGTCAGTATGACCATTAAAATCTGGTCCCCACATTGAACGGTGTTCCGGTAGCTGGGAGGCATGTGTGGGGTACCGCTGAGAGTGCTGGGATAGAACATGGGAGATCTGAGTTCCTTACCCACTCAGTCATGAAGTTCACTGGATGACTTTGGGCCTGTCAGAGACTCTCAGCCTGTCCTGTCTCACAAGGCTGATGTTATGAGGATTAAACTGAGAGGAGGAGAACCTTGTAAGCTGTCTTAAGGTCTTTGCAAGAGTAAAAAAAGGTGGGGCATAAACGCAATGTAATAATAACAACACATGCATGTAATGCATATTTGCTCACAAGTCTCACTGTGTTCAATGGATCTAATGGCCTAATACATTCCATAAATTTGTTTGGAATCACAACCATAATATTGATAGCAACTTTTAACAGCACAATCCTACACATGCCTTCTCAGAAGTAAATCCCCACTGAGTTAAATGGGATCTACTTCCCTGTAAGGATGGGCAGTTCTCCCAGTTACTCATGTTTTCCTGCCTTAAGTTCAGTGTCTCTCATATTCTGAGACCTTCTCTAATCCCAAGTTCATTATGAATTTTCAGACTTTTTAAAAGTTCAAATGAAAATTTATGAGTATTTCTCTGCCCTTTTCCTCTAACACAACAGTTTTTGTGGGCATTTCTGCATTCCATGGTCAGCAGGTTCAAATTACAAAATTAGGTTTACATTAAAATAAGAGCTGAACTAATAGCCCCACCTCCTACTTACAAGAAATAGGACTCAGACCTATGGACTTTAAAAATGTTCTACAACTGGCTTGCAGGATTTTTTAAAAAAATGCATGTATGTATGTACGTACGTATGTATGTACGTACGTATGTTTAAAGGTGCCCAGGTAAAGGCAAGTCATTGCCTTTACCAACTTAAAAGTTGCAAGTACCTGCTTCTTCCTCTGATTTTGCAAGTATCTACTTCTCCCTTCTCTACCACTATCGCAATCCCCATGTGACCATTTTTATTTACTTAGGGCACAATCCTATGCCTTTCTGTTATTCTTGGCTGAGTCTTTTTCATTGTCTTTTTACTCTTTTTGATATTTTGTGCTATTTAAAATTAATTTTAATTCTTATTAATGTTCTGTTATATGGTATTGTTTTTATACTTAATTTTAAACCACCTAGAGAGCTACAGCTATGGGAGATATAGCAATGAAATAAATAAAATTGGTGCCAGATAGTCTAGACCAGTGATGGAGAACCTCTGGCATATGTGCCCGAAGGGGCACACAGAGCCCTTTCTGTTGGCACGGGATCACCCCAGCAGCCATGCGCATATTCAGAAAGATTAAGGGCGTCAGGCAATGAGGTCACTCATTAGCCACAACTGGCCGAGCTTTCACATGGCCAGTAGGAAATACACTCAGATAGGAAATACACTCACATACCTTTTTCAGGGCAAGCCAAAAGCTGGTGGTCAGTGGTACACTGTCCCCTTGTGCTGGTGGTCAGGAAATTCAGGTTTTATTGCAGTGTTGGCACTTTACAATGAATAAGTGGGTTCTGAGTTGCAGTTTGGGCACTCGGTCTCTAAAAGTTTCCCCATCCCTGGTCTAGACAGTCATAAGATTGTTCATAGGATTGTTCAGTGAGGTTGGAGCTGGAATTTGAATTCAGAAAGCCCTCCCTCAGCCCTCACAGCCTGTGCAGAAAGACCAGTGCTGGCCATGACTCCAAGGGCATAACAGCAACCCTGGAGACAGGCTTTCGAAGCAAGGGAAGAGGGCAGGGAGGGAAGGAGGCAGGCTCCAGCAGCACACACAGTACACGGGTAGCGCCTCAGCCTCCTCTCTTCACTCTCCAAGGAAAAACACTTAGGCAACAGAAATCAGCCATCTCAAGTGCTTTGCAAGCTGGGAGACGTGTAAAGGCAACAGTTTGAGGGAAAGGTTTAGGGGTCACAGCAGCTTAAATGTTCTGTAAGCATACTCTTACAGGAGGTGTTAACTATCCAATTGCCCTGCTTTGTTCCTGGAATCTCATGAGGGTTCTGGAAAGTGGGTGTTGTGCAACACAACCAGCTTTCAGCTTAATAAGCCATGCATCACAGGGCCAAGACATGCCAAGCATACGATCAGACATGTTGTGGTTCCAGGGGTGCTACCTCCCCACATCAGTCCCAGAGCACCAAGATTTCCCTCCCTCCTTGCTGTGAGTGCAAGCCATTTTTGGCTTTTCGTGGCTTGACTTTTTATAAGGTTGTTTTCAAGATCAACAATGTGGGCTGACAAGCCCTCATCCACAATCCCAGTGGGGGCAACCATGAGATACCCTTCCAAGGATCCTCAGCAGTACCTTAAAGGGGTTGTTCACAAGCTTCCCCTTTAAACGCACGCACGCACGCACACACGCAAACGTGGGACCCTTCTCGCCCATGTGGTTAAAAAATAGGTCGACTGTGCTTTCTGTACTGGCCAAGGTAGGTGGCTGTGAGCCTCCCAACAGTCAGTCTCCCCAGGTGCTACCACAGGCTGCAGGTGAGTATTCCCCACACCACCACTCACTTTGGACTGATCTGTCCAATTTGACAGATGGGGACTAGGCAGCTGCTTGGAAAGTGTGATCTCACTAAGCAGTTTTTTTTTGGGGGGGGGATTACAAGTCCTAAGTGTCCCCTCAATTTTGCCATCAATGTCAATTTCCTAGCACCTTGGGGAGCAGCAAAACTAAGGGGGAGTCCCAGTAGGAGGTCTAGGCAGGTTGGACAAGTGTCAAACCCTTCCTCCTGTCACAGGAATTCTCCCCCAGTCATGCAGGTTCCCAATGGTAGCGGGGGGGGGGGGGGCAGGCGGTGGTGCAAAACCGTGGGTCATTTAAGGACACCAAATCACCAGAACAGGAGATTGTGCCGCAGATTATGCCCCATGATGGCACTTCTGTTGGGGCTACCAGTGGTGATTGCTAGCCGGATGCGTAGCCAATGCCAGCCTTTCTGCAGTTCTGGTGAAATAGCTCTGTAGGTGTTTTCCTCAACCATGGCTTGTTATGTTAGCTGGATTTGGATGACACAGCAGGCCATGAGGGTCAAGCATATCTTACAAGAAGTCATGGTTTTTTAGGGTAGCTTATAAACCAATTGAGTATTGTGCTGGTTTCAGGCAACACACTCAGCCACTGTGACTTTGTAGGTGCAGCAACTTAGCAAGACATGCAAACTCAGTCAGTATCTTAAGCTTTGTAGCCCTCCTGTCTTCTCGCACTTCTTCTGACTTTGGCCTTTTCACGCACCTAAAAAGGTTAAGAAAGACTGAATAACTGTAAAATATCTTGCACTAAGAGCCCTTGTCTGTAAGAACCCTGTTCCTCAATGCTGACAATACCCCACTGCCAGCCCTACCAGATAGTCCAGAAAGATACCAATATCAAACACCTCTGAGAGGGTCAGGAGAGCTTGAAGAATTAGACCTTTGTAAATTCCTAAGCAAAATTACCTAATCTGGCCCCTCTTGGTCCAACTGAAGTTAGCTGTTCACTAGATTTTTAAATTTTTATTTTCCTGAACACTACAGTGTTGTTCTCAGCAGTTTAACTCTATCAAAACATGGATTTAAATTTGTACTTTGAGGTAACTTTTTTAAAATCCACAGATTAATCAGGAAATGGAACCAAACCAAATGGCTAAACACACGTGAAAGGGATGCAGGCTGGAAATATTTCTTTATTATGGGTTGAAGTGAGACATCATCATACATATGGTACATCTCTCAAAATCAAATGAACTTAATCAAAATAACTGGTGTTGATTCTAATGGTCTACTTTAAGGCCTTGCGCTAATCAAAACATGGCTTAGGCCACCGTAGCTTGCTTTAATCCCCGGTGTGTGCTGGTACATGAAGGGTACTAGTTCTCTAATTATCCGCCGAGGCACAGCCGACGTGTCCTCTCAACTAGGTAGCATGGCTTATTTGCAGAGTAAACAATCCTCAAATAACTCCAGGTCATGAGTTATTAGAGGGTTGTTTGCCCCTCAAAGAAGACATGTTATCTTGGTTTGAATGGCATAAGCTGGGTCTGGTTTATCATTAGAGAAATTACCCTATTTATTTTAAACACACATTCAAATTACAGACACATGCAAATTAATTCAAATGAATGTGTTTTAAAAACAAAATATCCTACAGGTGTACATACCATGCAAACCAAGTTTCTGATGTCTAGGTTTATTGTCTTGCTGCTGTGGTGCCGACAGACAGACAGAACACACACAAACTCTTATAGATTTACTGGTTTCATTCATACTGCATTCCCATCCTTCCTCCAAGTATTTCAGAGTAGCATTGTAGTATCTCAACAACTTGCTAAGATCTAATCAGATAATATAAGAGCATGTTAAATGGACAAACTTCTACAAATTCTCCTAATAGTATCATTTTATATGCCTTCTAATTAGCAGAGCTGGCAAGAAGCAGATTCCCAAAATGACAGAAAATCTACTAAAAGTAGGCCCTTAAAAAAGAAATTAGATCGATGTGAGCAACAACAACACACAGTTATACATTTCAAATTCATTTGCTAACATTGTTTTAAGGCACATCTTATTTTCATGATTAAAAACCACATGCAATCCTATGTGATTCATTCAAGGAATTTACTTTTTCTTATTCTTGGACATTATTTATTAATATTATTGTTCGTTACAACCATCTATTTGATTATTACAGGCTGGAACAAATGGATACATGGCTCCTGAAATCTTAAAGGAAGAGAGCTATTCCTACCCTGTGGACTGGTTTGCTATGGGATGCAGTATTTATGAAATGGTGGCTGGTCGAACTCCATTCAAGGATTTCAAGGAGAAGGTCAATAAAGATGAAGTGAGAAAGAGAACCTTAGAAGATGAGGTGAAGTTTGAGCATCCTAATTTTGATGAGCCATCGAAAGATATCTGTAATCTGTTCTTGGCAAAGAAACCAGAAAATCGTTTGGGAAGCAGGTAGTAATAGTTTTATTTCCCTTGATTTAACCAGAAATTAATGGATGGTGCAGTCATCCTTGTTTTAGGAAATGCAGTTCAATCATCCTATATGATTTACACTAAAGAGTTTAATATCTCCCATGCTATTTTGGCACTTGCTCTGTGCGTACAGGCAAAGGCGGTCCCTAGCAACCCACATTCTAGGAATATTCCAGTTGAATTAATGTAATGCGTCTCCATTGGTCTGCCTTTGAAGATGAACCAGACGTTTCAACTGGTGCAGATTTAGCTACCCAATTTAGCTACCCAATTTAACTAACATCCAGTTCTAACTGAAATAAACTAGTACAGTTCTACTGGCTTCCTCTTGACTTCTGAGCCTGATTCAAGGTACTGCTTCTTACTTTTAAAACCTTACACAGCTTGGGACTCAAATATCTAGAGCAACTCCCCATATCGGCCTGCCCATGTCTTAAGTTCCTCTGCTGAGGCCCTGCACCAAGTGCCTTCCAGAAAGCCATGTTTCAGTGGCAGCCCTGCCCTTGGAATGGCCCTCCCCATTTCCACAGAGGCACACACAGTGCCTACATTTCAAGCCTTCCACTGCCAGATTTAAAAACAACTCTTGCAACTGCAGAATGCTGGAAGGTATAGGATTTTTTTCTGTCTAAGCATACATCCAACTGCATCCTAATAATTTCTATCAGCCCTAGGCATGTAAAAATGTATGTGCTATCTCTGCATTGCTCTTACGCTGTTGAGGTGATTTTATTTTATATGGCCCTGAAATCTGATCCTATAAATGGATGAATTACATTTATATTCTGCCTTTTTTCCTCCTGTAAGGAACCCAAAGCAACTTACACATTTTGCCTCCCCTTTTTAATCTCACAACAACCCTGTAAGGCAGGTGAGACTGAGAGTCACTGAATGGCCCAGTGTCACCAAGTGAGCTTCAGGCCAAGTTGGGACTAGAAGCTTTGAGTCCCAGTCTAACACTCTGATTGCTATGCCACACTGGCTCTCAAACATGTTTAGGTCGTCGAGAATGCCAGAACTGACCACTTCAGCTAACCATGCATTCTACGTAATGTACATTTACTGTTCGTATAGCAGAATTATTTTCAGAACAATCCTACCGATGCCTGGTGGGGAGAGGACTATGACAAAGGAACTGCCACATCCAGGTCCCATTGAGTTTATGACAGCTAGGGCAGAATGGGGGTGGGGGGAGGTTCTGCCTTTCCCTGCACCCCATCGCCATCAGAGCCCACACAGTGGAGAGTAACAGAGGTTGTCACTGCTGCAATGAGAACCTGCTCCTCCTCACCTTTGCACCTCCTCTATGTCCTTAGAGCAGAGGTTTTGTAATATCCACAGTATCTAACATTAGGGACTGCGTAGGATTGCACCCTTAAGCCACATTTGTAAAAATGTCTTCAATATATCCACAGACTGGATTGAAATCAGGAGATTAGCCTGTAGTTGAGCAGTGACACGCTGCAATGGACTAAGTGCAGGGATATTTCTCAGGCTTGGCATTCTCTCTTTTAAAAACCTGAACAAGCTCATTTCCAATGGCTTATTTGGTGACCTTTAAAAACTGGGAGGAAGCTGAGATTTTCCATAAACATTTTCCTTTCTGGAGGACCTAATACTTAATGCATTTTTAAGTGACATCTGCCGTATGGCTACTTGGCTTTTTTAATGAGGTTGAGCAGCTTGGCTACGCTTTCCTGTTCCTGACCAGCGGAATGCAGAAATTTCTGAGCTCTTTGAAACTCTTTTAGATCCCCTCTTTCCCTTTGTTTCCTGGGCCTCTCCCACTGCAACTTGGGGAATTAAAAAAAAGAGGTGCATCTGTTGAAACAGTAACAGGAAAATATATGACCTTTGATTAGATACAAGCATCTGGAATAATCACAGTATATTCTGCAGCTGTGCACCCAAATGCTTTTGTCTCTGACGATTTTGTACATGAAAGGCATGTTTTACCACATTTGCAATCTGACTCATGACAGAGCAAACAGTAGACATTTTATTTTTCATGCTGCCCATTTTACCTAGCATAGGACCTTAACATCGCCCCAAATGGGGAATTGTATGTCCTGCAATGAGGACAAAAGTGGAGATGGATTTGTATATAGTGTGCATATCCTAATTTATATGTAGGGATGTAAAGTAAGAAATAATTGGCATAATTTAAGCAGACATACATTGCATCTGTCAAGAGTGGAAAAAGGTGTAGTTAGGAGACCAGTGTCACCAGGCACCAGAATATGGATGGATAACTCCAGGGCCCCTAAAAGTACTCCCGACTTGGGCTCCTGGGCAGGACTTGGACTGGGCAGCCCTTTAAACATCGCTTTGCCCTCTTTATAGTATGATGCATGACCTACCCCAGGATGATTGGTATTGTTATGCAGATTTCTGGTTTGTTCCAGCAGTTCAGCCAGACTGCTTATTTTCCAGAGAAGACAGTGATCTGCCTTATGAAATATTATGAAAGAAGTTATATTTGTCAACTTGGAAGTGGGGACAGCCTGTGATCACACAAAACTAGGGATCACATTTATGATTACATTTGTCAACCAGTCTCTCTCTCTTTCTCTCTCTCCCCCCCGCCACGCACACACACACACACAAACTCCATAGGTCTCCCTCACACGTACATACCCTCCTCCCTAATTCTCCCTCACACTTGTTTCTCTTACACACATACACAATGTTGAGCGAGCAGACTTTCTCTTGTACTTTTCCTTCAGGGCCCCTAAACCTCCCAAGCAGGGGTGTGGTGGCAGGGAGAAATGTGTCCAACCAGCAGTCTCTGTTGCACTGAAAGATAAATGGCATTGGATCAAGCCACTGCTGTTATGTTGCAATATACTTTTTAAAATTCCCACATACTTAGAAACTGGGAAGCTAGTCATAACTGTGAAAATGGAAGATAACCTATAGGGCATTTCAAGGGAGTCCGGCACTGGGAGGAAAATCATTGCCCCTGCACAGATTGCGTTAGATACTTGCCCAGCGGCAAAGATTCTGTTTCAGTTTGTAGGCTGTTCTGTAAAATACATCACAAACCCAAGAGACAGAGAAGGATAGAGAGGGAAGGACTGGCAAATGCTGTTGTGTGCCTTCATATGTATTTAAATGTATGTTACAGGAAAAGTAGGTTTCGGGGTGGCTTTCAGAGGACAGGCAAGTGATATGGCACTAGGTTATCCCAAACGAAATATTACTTAGAACTGAAAATGTCCTAGAAAGCCAATGTGGATCTGCACATTGTTCCAGTCAGCATTATTTGCATGATGCTACATGCCATGATGCTGAAACTGTGTATTTACTGGTAGGCAAACATGTATTATAAATATTGCTTATTAATATATTTGGGGGGCTTAATCTAAGCGTGCAGCACTTGCCAGCATACCCAGAATATCTCATATGAGTGAGCAGGGGAGGGATTCCATCAATTTTTAAAGTGCTGGTGATTTAATTTTTCCGAAGGTCTTGGAGCAATGAGCATGTGACTTCTTGATCTCATTGGTCTTTGTACTAGTGGGAGTAGCGCAACAGCAGTGCAGCTATTTGACAGAAGGGTGGCCAAAATATACAACCTCACATATTGACATGTAGGCTCAGCCTGATCATCCTGTCCTTTTTCAGTGGGAAATACTAATATGTCTGTAAGGTTTGATTTTCCCCCTTTCACAGTATGAGGCAACTCAACAAATTCTAGTACATCACAACAGCTGTACATTTTACGTGAGACAATAAAAAGTAAGGCAAATAAGTTACTTTTCCATTCTGTCAATTAAAGAGAAGGCAAACGTTCAGGTTTTGTTTTATCAAGCCACATACTGTAGACACAGAGATATAGACAAATACACGCTATAAATACTTCAGCCACTTCAGCTGTGTTGCAGGCATAATCATAAACTTTGGGTCACTATATTTATTCATTGTTATATCTTGCTCTCTTCAGGTATGATAGTTGAAGTCCTAAATTACTGAGGTGTGGATCCTATTGGACACGGGGTTTGGGAAAAGCTAAAAGTGTATCCATCTCTTTAAAGAGACCCTAAAATTAACAGCTAGCTGACAAATCTCAGGGTTCCATTAAAAAGAGTCTTTTGAGTCAGAAAGAGAGCAGTGGACCAGGACATATCTGACATGCGCCACAGTCCAGATCCACTCAGTTCATACTGAAAATCCTGTGTTTGAGGGAGGCCTGACTGTTGACAGCTTCTTCTCAGATTCTATTTCTCTTCAAGAAAAGGGGCAGGTGTTGCACAGTTAGTCTCAGCTGAGCACCTACGTAGACAAAAGCAGGGAGGAACAGATGAGTTTTGGGTTGAGGTTTGCTTGCTTGCTTGCTGTGTGTTTGCTTATTTGTTTGTATACAACTCTAAGAACGTAATAGCATAAGAAAAGCCATGCCAGATCAGACCAAAGGTCCATCTAGTCCAGCACTCTGTACACATGATGGCAGAGCAGATGCTCGCAGGATCCCTCAAGCAGGACAGGTGCAAGACGTCCTCCTGCCCAAGTTCCTCAGCAACTGCTGCATGCAGACATGCCACCTCTGGTAAAGGAGGTAGCACATAGCCAGCAAGGCTAGTAGCCACCAATAGCCTCCCTTCTCATGAATCTGTCCTGTCCCCTTTCAAGGCCATCCAGACAGGTAACCATCACCACTTCCCATGGCAGTGAATTTCATAGTTCAACTATACACTGTGTGAAGAAGTACTTTCTTTTATGTATCCTAAACCTCCCACCAATCAGCTTCGTTAGTTGACCCAGCTTTGAGTGTTATGAGAGAGAGGGGGAAAATGTCTCCCCCTCTACTTTCTTCACACCATACATTATTTTAAGCACCTCTATCATGTCTTCCCATTTTTCTAAGCTGAACAGTCCCAATAGTTGTAGCTGCCCATCATAGGGAAGCTGTTCCAGCCTCATGATCATTTTTATTGCCCTTTTCTGTAGCTTTTCTAACTCAATAATGGCCCTTTTCA